AGTGATGCTTACAGATATTCACTGTCGCTAGGAACCACATCCCCCCAACTCCATATTCTGTTAAACTAGCAAAATCTTTCAATTAGTTCATCCCATGCCATGAATATGCTGATGTACTGTGTTCTTACATATTCAATGTGTCTCTTTTATCAATGCCTTTAACTAATTATGGGTGAGTGGAAACTACCTTATATCACACCATTATGTGACACTCCTGGTGTTAGAGATAATTATGGGTAGTGGTGCCAGGAGCAGTATAGCTTTCTCTTCTGTGCTAAATCTACTTCTAAATCTCTCAACCTATATAATTCATTATTTAGGAGCTAGATTAATACTGAGGAATAGCACCCTCTGAATTTGCATTTGGATAAGGGCAAGGCTAATCATATCAGGATGTGGTTGCTACCAATTATGGCACTTGGTTTTCTAGACTGTTAAAAGACGTAACAAAATGATCAGTGTTTTGCTATTTTTGTGTTAAATATCTGTTCCCTATTTAAACTGCAGGAACTTCAGAGGACTGACTGAAAAGCCCAGCTCTGTGTACTGTTGGTAGGATATAGGTTGATAGAATCCATTAGAGGGCACTTTGAAAGACTTTCTCAAAATGTAACTTGTACACCTTTTGTCCCAATAAATCTATTCTCGAACTGCACAAAGGTTAGTTGTTACAAGGATGTTGGTTGCCTTCTTGTTGCCATCTTTTTTACTATCAACAGTCTTATTAATGTACAGCATGAGAGACCGGTTATGCTAATTATGGTATTTACATACTATGGTATGCTGTTCATTTCATTTAAAAGAGTAAAGTAGCTTGGATGTGGTGGTTCACGCCTGTAATCCCAGCAATTTAGGAGGCTCAGGTGGAAAGATCACTTGGGATCAGGAGTTTGAGGCTGCAGGGAATGTGCCGCTGCACTCCAGCCAGGGTGATAAAGTGAGACCCTGTCTCAAATAAGAAAATGAAACAGTAAAGTAGGTATACATATAGTGACAGGGAATGGTGTCCAAGATAAATTTTTAAGTGAAAAAAGGGGTGCAGAATGGCATATATTATAGGATCCCACTTGTTCAACACAAAGAAGGGAGGTATTGTATAAGAATTCGTGTATATGTGTTCTTGCATATGCTTAGAAAATTTCTAGGATGACGCACAAGAAATAGTTGTCAGTTACCTTGGAGATTAGAGGTGGCGAGGCTAGGGATTTTAGTTTTCACTTGACACCTTTCTGTACTGCTTGACTTGTTTACAACAACCTGTAAAACCTTTAAATACTAAAATTTAAATAAAAACTGTACCTCACTAGATTCTTTCCTCAACAATTTATACTAAGAAATAAAAGGAATATTAGTGGTTGAGGTGAGAGATCAGGTCTGAAGCAAAGGAGGCTGACTCTGGTAAAACCAAGGGCCTCTAAAAGCTACCTCTGTGGCCAGAGGACTTAGGAGAGATGTTGCTTTGTTAAAGCATAATGCTAAGAAAACAAGTAAGATTAAATTGGGTAAAAATTACTTTATTAGTTTTTTGATGAAACAGTTGTAATCATGTCATTAGTTTTGATCTCTGGATATATTAATACCTAAACAGCATAGTAATTGTATTCCAGACTACAATTTAAACATTAAATGTTTCAACGTGTAGAATGATAGCTGTTTTTCTTGTTCAATTTGTTTAAATGTTGCAAGTGAATGCTAAGCTACAGTTTCTTGAGCTTTTTACTTAAGGACCTGAGGAAAAATGCAAGTATAATCTTATGCTTGAAGTAGAGAAGATATAAATTACCTGATATTTACCTTATAATGTTTGGATTAAGTTAAATCTTCAAATTCTTAAGGCCCCTTCTAGCTCAGTCTCCCCCCAAAAAGGGCTTTTGTCTGAGACACAAGAAGTCAAAGGGTTGTCTGTCAGAGTGTCCTCTTGGTTTGGCATAATGAAGAGTTCCTTCACCCAGTTGTGGATGTTCAGAGACAAGAGTCACTATCCTGTGTTAAGTGACCCTCCTTCTCTAACATTTGGGGTTTTAGCCAGGAGATAGGTGGTAGAACACAAGACAGGTTTTACTCTAGGATGTTGATTGAGAAAGATATATAATCGGGCAGGTGGTAGAGACTGGAGTAATGGGAACAATTGTGAGAAAAGAAAAGGCTATGTAATTTCAGGCTGTAGAAAGACTGGAATCAGGGGTAGAAAGACTGGAATCATAAAGAATGCAACTTTTGCAATATTTTTTCTGGTTGTGGGAACCAGAATATGAGGAGCTGCCTGGAATTTGGTTTGCAGTTGAACCTGGACCTGGAGGTTATGCCTAGAGAACGAGGCATAAAGATTCTTATCTTTGTTGGTGATCACAGAAGCTGTTAGAACTGGCCCCAGCTTGGACCAGGCATGAAGGAGGGAGGAATTGGGAGAAGAAACCAGACATCCTAGAAAGACAGAGAAGATGCTGAGCTCTGAGTGGGCTGGACTTTGTATGTGCTCAAAGCCTATACTTGACTGCCCTGCATGGAGGATGTTGCTTACATTTCTTACTCCATAATAAAGTATTCTGAGTTGACTGAGGTCAAGAAAGAGAAAAGAACCAATAATAATAGCTACCATTTATGAGTACTTACCATGTGCTTTTTTTTTTTTTGAGACAGAGTCTTGTTCTGTCACCTAGGCTGGAATGCAGTGGCATGATCTGGGCTCACTGCAACTTCTGCCTCCTGGGTTCAAGTAATTCTCATGCGTCAGCTTCCCAAGTAGCTGGGACTACAGGCATGCACCACCATGCCTGGCTAGTTTTTGTATTTTTAGTAGAGACAGAGTTTCACCATGTTGGCCAGGCTGGTCTCAAACTGGCCTCAAGTGATCGCCCACCTTGGCCTCCCAAAGTGCTGGGATTGCAGGCATGAGCCACCATGCCCAGCCTATTGTGCTTTTAAAAGTGCTTTACATGGATTATCTCATTTAATCTTTCCAGTAACGGTGTAGCAGATAGGAACTGAGGCATAAAGTGGTTGGGTCGTATTCTGAAATTGTAACTGGTAGAGCCTGAGTCTGAGGCAGTCTGCCTCTAGAACCTGTGCTTTTAGTTATTCTGTATTTCTAGGACCGTAGCTCCCAGAATCCCTTCTTCACTGCCACCCCCAATCAATCAAGGTAATGGCCAGCTGTGAAAGAAGGAAATTTCCTATTAGAGTACTATTGCTGTGGCCCTAATGAGCAACTGAAATGATTTCAAGGGAGTAAGAAAGCAGAGGCTTGAATAAAGCCTGTGGGTAAGTGAAGTACAATTCTGTAGCCAAAATTCTGTTTTCTTTCTAAATTTAAATAAGTGATTTTGTATCTTCTGTGTGGAAGACACTATTAGGTATTATGTGTGGGACTAAGAAGATTCAGAAGCAGATACTGTCCTTCCAAAAGCTAGTCTCTGAGGAAGTTAAAACATGTGCACTAATAACCATAACCCAAGCTTATGTTAGAGACATGGTTAGAGAGTCATGGACTACCACAGAAGTTAGACAAAGGTGAGGAGGTGGCATGTGGGGAAGACCATGCAGTATGGGTAGGTTCTTCTATAGCTGGAGATGTCAGAGATATGATTTCAGCCAGCAAAGTACCAGGTACATTTGAGGGAACTTGAAAGTGTCATGCCAGACCTGTTATATTTATATACATTGTCTCATTAACTCTTTGTAACAATGCTTTATTGACCAAATGATTTAATTGTCAAAACGAGGACACTTTTGAGAGTGGAGTACTAATCAGATGGAATAGGAATAAACAGGGGCTCAGGAACACCAGGACCTATGAGGCAGTTGTTATTATTCCCATTTAACACGTTAGAAAATGAGGCCACAGATCACATAGCTAGGAATTGGTGGAGCTAGGATTTGAATCCAATCCTGGCTTCAAAACTAAAAGATTCATACTTCATTCCATATACAGTGGGGTGCAATTGAAGGGCTTTGAGCAGAGAACTGTCATAGTCAGAACTATGCAGGACGGATGGAAAGGAAGGACTGGAATTGGGGTGATGAGTTAAGAGATTGCTGAATAAGATTCGTGTAGAACATTCTAAGGACCTGTATATAAGATGTTAACTTTGGAATTTAAAGGAAGTGAGAAATGTAAGAGATATCACAAAGCACAAAGGAATAAATGACAAAGTTAGACTACTGGGCAACTTTGAATGGAGAAGAAGAGTAAAAGGTAATGTAGGATTTCAAATTATTTTAATGAAAACATTTTGTTAACCAAAAGTAGCCACTAAGGTAACTTAGAAAGATAACGTGTGTTTTCACTAGTGTACTAAACTAAGAGAAAATCTGCTTCTCAGTATAGTTGACTTACTGACTTGTAATCATGAGCAAATTATTTAACCCTTTCTTGCCCAGATTTACTCATCTTTAAAACATAATGTTGTCTCCCACTACAAAAGCCCCATGAACTAGCACAGATTGAATGCTTCTTTATCTCCACATTTTCAAAATTTGAGTGCTTATGCTCAATAATGTGAAATTGCATCCTAGTGTTAAATACAACCACTTTTATATCATATTGCAAAACACTAATAATATTTATCATGTGATATGTTATCACCCCCTTCTGAACTCCTGCTTCTGTTATTACCTTTAACTAGTTGCCAGATAAATTGTAATGCCAGCTTTATAACATCTTTTCTGCCATTGTCTTCAGCTGTTATTTAACTTCTTTATTATGGTTTAACTTTCTTATATGTTTATCTTAGCTCCCCAATAGGGTGGATGATACTTTAGGGATGGGAACATAGTTTATACATCCCTCCATTCCTCCTAATTCCTTAGGTAGAGTCACCCAGGAAGTATTTATTGATCTGATTCAACCAGTTCATGTGGCACAATAAGACTTTTTGTTTTGTACATTATACCCTGTTAATATGGTCTCAAATAGTATTGGATTTTGGATAATTATTTCTTACTCTGAACTCATAATGATCCCAGAACCCGCTTTTCCCTCCAAGTTTCTGTCTGTCCCTTTCTCTTCTAATTTTTTCAAAAATGTGCATGTCATCCCTGTGCAGGGACCACGCTAATCTTCTCTGTATCATTCTAATTTTAGTATATGTGCTGCTGAAATAAGCGCCCTTTCAATTTTTTTTTTTTTTTTTTTTTTTAAGATGGAGTCTCACTCTGTTGCCAGGCTGGAGTGCAGTGGCGTGATCTAAGTTCACTGCAACCTCCGACTCCCTGGTTCAAGCGATTCTCCTGCCTCAGCGATTCTCCTGCCTCAGCCTCCCGAGTAGCTGCATTTATAGGCGTGAGCCACCACGCCCAGCTAATTTTTTCTTTTGTATTTTTAATAGAGACAGGGTTTTACCATGTTGGCCAGGATGGTCTCGATCTCCTGACCTCATGATCCACCTGCGTTGGCCTCCCAAAGTGCTGGGATTACAGGCTTGAGCCACCGTGCCTGGCTACTCTTTTGATTTTTTTTGTTTGGAGACAGAATCTTGCTCTGTCTCCCAGGCTGGAGTGCGGTGGCACGATCTCCACTTACTGCAACCTCCGCTCCCTGGGTTCAGGCAATTCTCCTGCCTCAGCCTCCTGAATAGCTGGGACTACGTGCACATGCTGCCACACCCAGCTAATTTTTTGTATTTTAGTAGAGACGGGGTTTCACTGTGTTGCCCAGACTGGTCTTGAACTCCTGAGCTCAGGCAATCCACCCACTCCGGCCTCCCAAAGTGCTAGGATTAAAGGCATGAGCCACCACGCCCGTCCTAATTTTTTAAACAAGAACCTTTCTATGCCTTTACTTAAATATTAATGTAATTAAATTTTTATTTATTGTTCTTGTTAGTTTTAGCTTTATTATCACATATATTTCATAAATACCTTTATTCAAGGAGTTAATAAAACATCATTTGCTATATTTGTTTTCTGTTGCTGCATAATGGATTACCACAAACTTAATTGCTCAGAACAACAAACATGTATTATCTTGCAGTTTCCATGGGTCAGGAGATGGTCATGGCTCAACTTGGTCCTCTGCTCAGGGTCTCACAGGCTGCAATCAAGGTGTTGGCAGAACCGGTGGTCTCATCTCAGGCTCAGGGTTCTCTTCCAAGCTCATGTGATTGTTGGCAGAATTTAGTTCTTTGTGGTTGTGGGATTGAGGCCCTCAGATCCTAGGGGCTGCCTGTAATTCCCTGTCACATGGTCTTTCCATAGGCAGTTCATATAACAGCACCTTGTTTTTCAAGGCTTGCGAGGGATAAAGTCTCAGTTTGTCTCTCACAATGGCAAGAAGGAATCAATAATATACACATATATATCTAGTCATGGGAGTGACTTCCAATTACCCTTGCCATATTCCATTGGTTAGAACCTACTCACATGTCCCACCCATACTCAGGGAAAGGGGATTAAACAAGGACATGAATATCAGGAGGTGGGCATCATTGGGGGTCACCTTATGGTCTGTCTGCTATATTTGGCATAGCTCTGAATCAGGCTAATTGAATACTTTCTTTTTCTTTTTTTTATTTTTATTTTTTGAGATGGAGTTTCCCTGTTGTTGCCCAGGCTAGAGTACAGTGGCATGATCTCGGCTCACCACAACCTCCACCTCCTGGGTTCAGGCGATTCTCCTGCCTCAGTCTCCCGAGTAGCTGGGATTACAGGCATGTGCCACCACGCCCGGCTAATTTTGTATTTTTAGTAGAGATGGGGTTTCTCCATGTTGGTCAGGCTGGTTTTGAACTCCCGACCTCAGGTGATCTGCCCGCCTCAGCCTCCCAAAGTACTGGGATTAGAGGCATGAGCCACCGCGCCCAGCCAAGACTTTTAAACTTACTGTTATCCATCAACAAACACTCACTGGGTAAGGCTTTTCTAACAGCTGTGACTCTAACTTTACTGTCATCCACCAAATTTTTTTTCATCTACTTACAAAGATAAAATGAGAGATGATGTCAGTAATTTGCCTGAAGTCATTCATTGTGTGAGGCCTTCCACTGAGACAGAGTGCTGGAGTGGGAGCAAAGTTGAGATGATTTGAATTTGGATGCCTATCAGATATCCACATATATCCCGTGGCCTGGGGTATAGAGAGGGTCTGGTCTCTAGTAGAGATTTGGGGACTCTTCATGTATAGATGATATATGAAGCCTAGGATTTGAGTATACTTTGAGAGGGAAAAGGTGCCAAAGGTAGAATTCTGGGGGAAATCCAGGTACTCAGTTTGAGGGACTTCTCTCACCTCCTTATATAACAACCCAAACAAAAAGGAAACAAGTTATCCAGTCTCAGAGGAAAAGTTGTATTATTTTGTCTACTTCTGCTTCAGTCCCTTCTCTGTCTGTTTATTATAGATACTATTTACTTAATTATACCTCTTTTCTTCTGGTTTCTTCTGCTCTTCCTTTCCACTGGACCCATTCGCTATCGTCCATAAACATGTTCTGGTCTCCCTTTGCTGTATCTTCTGGCTACCAATACCTATCTAGTCAGCCACTTAATGTTTCTGGGCCTCAATTTCCTCAGAGATTGAGGGACGTGATGTAGGGAGGAGGTTATGATTTTTAAGAGGCCTCTTTCTGACCTAAATTTTGTTCTGCCATCTTATTTCTCTACCTTTCCCCATTTTGGGTTGTGTTGACTGTTCAGTTCCTTTTTGAAACTTCCCTCCCTGGGCCACAGAGTTGTACTCCTCTAGTTCCCTTTCTGCCTGCCTCTGTCACTGCTTCTCCATTACTTTTGTTTCCTCCTGCCTCCTAATTATGTCCATATTCAGGGGTGTCAAGTTCTTTGCCTTTTCTCTCTTTATACTCACTGCGTCAGAGATTTCATCTACACTCCTGGCTTTACCTTTTTTTTTTTTTTTAATTATAGAAGTAACACACAATTACATGTTCCTATTAAAAAATAATATAGATGCATCTAGAGTAAAAAGTGAAAATGCCCCTTCAACTTCATCCTTAGACGTAACCACCATTATCTGATTGGTGTTCTTTCTCCAGGTGTTGAGTCCCAAATCTATAAAGGTAGCTCTAAACTCTAGTTTTCATCAATAGCTGTAATCAGGATACTTTTATTTGGATGCTCCACTATCAGCATATAAAATCAGCTAGCTGAATGACTTTGGGCATGTGGTTGATATGGTGGTTTTTTTTTTTTTTTTTAATTCTGTGGTTCTTTCATGTCTTGTATTTATTTCTTTTTGTATCTCCATAGCATTAAACAGTAGACATTCCTTACATGTTTGGTTGATTCTGTTATTTTGCGGCTCATTAGTACTCCTTCCCGATTTGCTTATATGCATAGACCCAAGGAAATAGAATAACCCTCTGTTAGTACTTTAGGTGAAGAGGTGGGTGGCTGAGTATAGGGCTTAATCACTGGGAACCAGAACACATGAGCAGTTCAATGGTAACAGTAAGTATGGGGGCTTGATGGAGGAGAATGGGGTGGTAGATGGGTAGTATATTGAAAACTTTGGACAGTAAATTAAAGCCAGGGTGCTAACATTAAATAAATATATCATGGGTTGTAAAATATAAATATCTTAATCTAAAATATTAGCTACCAAAATCACTGTTCATATGAAAACATTATTTTGGCTCTGAAAAAGATACATGGATAATCTCTGCAGTGTAATGGGTCATTTTGCAAAAGTATGTTCTACTGTATGTGTATTAAATGCAAATTAATTGGAAAGATTGCCAATGAGAGTGTATCATTGCATGTTGTATTAATGAGGCTGTATCGCATAAGCAGTTACACACTGAAAATTGCCAGTCTCTGTAAAAGCTTAATTCCAAAGAAATTTAGGGTAATCATGGACAGGATCCATAGTAGTGGTTCTCAGCTGGGGGCAATTTTACCCCCTGGGGAAATTTAGCAATGTCTGGAGATATTTTTGTCACAATTGTGGGGAGGCGTTACTGGCATCTAGTGGGAACAAGCCAGGTAAGCTGATAAACATCCTACAATGCACAGGCCAACTCCCTACCACGAAGAATTATCTGACCCAAGATGTCAGTAATGCTGAAGTTGAGGAATCTTCATGAAGGGAATTTTGGGTAGGGCAGGAGACCCATGGAGGTGACCATTGATGCCCCTTTGTATTAATGCTGATGTCCTGTAATTCTTAACCTTGCTACCTAGTTGAAAGCTAGAGGTTATGACAATTGTTTGGCTTTTAGAAACAGCATACATATCAGATAGATGGACCCATTTATTTTCTTTTCTAGGTGTTTTGGTTATTTGACTATTAAAGTAACTTATCCCCAGACTTTGTCAATGCTGATTTTTTTTCAAGGAGAACTTACCGCCAGAACGTTTAAAGAGCAACAGACAAAAATGCTGAGACTTGATAAAATTTTATGTTGAGTTATTGCATATTAATACTTAGTCCTAAATACTGTATGCAAATGTATCTTAAACTGAGATATAGCTCAGGAGTGTAAATGGGTTGGCTAAGGTAATGTAGTGATTTATTCATAGACCCGAGGCCAGAAATCAGATTCCTTGATTCCCAGGCCATTATTTCTTTGATTTGGCTATTGCTTCTGTATAACATCTTTTCTGCTTTGAGTTTCCTGAAGAGCACAATCAAGTATGTCGAAGATTGAATCATCTTAGGTGCTGGACGTTTTGCACATTTATACAAGAATATTCAATATTACCAGTCATCTTAAAAAAGCAACAAAATAACCCAAAATAATGCTGAGTAAAACACAAGAAGTTATGTTACTTTTTCACTTAGTAACATGGATGAAATATTACAGCAAATGGGGACAGAGCTTAAAGGAAGTGGTAGGGTGAAAGGACCATTAGTGTAACACAGCTGGATGGCATTTCTCTAAGCTACCATTTTGAAGAATGTTGCTCTTTGGACTGACTCCCAAACTCCATCTGGCTAGCACTTTGGAATTTTAAATGGGTAAAAAATATGATTTTCCATTGCTCCCAGCTGCCCTGCATGGTTTAATAGACAACTATGTAAAAGACAGGGATTAGAACCAGCATTTGCTTTGCTTTATGAAATTGGGAAATATACTTGGTTTTTTAGCTCAAGTTTTTTCATAAGTAGATGATATGGTAGAGGATTATGGTAGTTAATATTTATTGAATCCTTAC